TGTAAGTCATACTACATAGTAAAGATGGTATCAAAATTTCGACAAGGAGATTTCAGTCTTAAAGATGAACCACGTGCTGGATGCATGTTGGACCTCAAAAGATTGAAACGGATGAATTGCAAGCACTGCTGGATATAAACTCTGCGCAAACTGAAAAGGAACTTGCAGAACAGCTTGACGTTACGCAGCAAACCATTTCCGTACGTTTACATACAATGGGAAAGGTTCAGAAGGAAGGCAGATGGGTTCCGCATGAATTGTCCGAAGACAACAAAAATCGTCGGCGTGACTGCACTCACTTTATTTTTAAAGTTCCGGAAAAAAGATTTTCTGCACAAAATCATTACAGGAATGAAAAGTGGATTCTTTATGATAACCCTAAACGTAGAAAATCATGGATTCACTCTGGTCAACCTTCGGCATTGACGCCAAAGCCCAATATCCACGCCAAGAAGGTTTTGCTCTGTATCTGATGGGATTGGAAAGGTGTGTTGTATTACGAGTTGTTACAACCGGGTGAAACAATCACGGCAGACCGCTACCAACAACAATTGACCAATTTGAGCGATGCATTAGAAGAAAAGAGGCCATTTACTGGCCAAAGACGTCGTAAAGTGATCTTGCTTCATGACAATGCTCGACCACATGTTGCGAAAGCGACTCAGGATCATATCTTTGCGTTAGACTGGGAACTTTTCCCGAATGCCTCGTATAGCCCAGACATGGCTCCTTCCGATTATTACCTATTCCGGTCGCTGCAGCATCATTTGGCTGATACACATTTCCTAAGATTTGAAGAGATAAGAAAATGCATTGATGACTTTATCGCTTCGAAGCTGGTGAGCTTCTATCATCAAGGAATTCGCAAGCTACCCGAAAGATGGCAAAAGGTCGTTGATGCAAACGGGGAATATTTTACTGATTAATATTTTTTTGTTTGTTTTTGAATAAAGATTGAATTTTACAAAAAAAAGCTCAGAACTTTTTGTTACACCTAATATATATATATATATATATATA